ACTACTACCACTACTACTACTACCACTACCACTACCACTACCACTACTACTACTACTACTACTACCACTACTACTACTACTACTACTACTACCGCCACGACTACTACCAGTTCTATTGATTGTGTCATCATTAGGATAAATATCGTTCAGACAACTTATTTGTTCCAGCGTCTTCTTGTACGCGTTGGGTAGGGGACATATGAGTGTCTGTCGGCATCAGGCTTACCAACGGATCATTAAGGGTGGGCATAGGCGTCCCTTTTTAGCATCGTCCTTGAAACATTCCTTAAAGAGGATCCATGTCTCTTGCTTAAAAAGGGAAATAGTGACTGTAGCTCATATGAGCATGCTTCAAAACTTTCATAGTTTTTGGTGTAAGGTTCCATTCTCCTTCGGTAATCCTTACATGTCCGTATACGGTCTGGCGCGACCCAAGTTTTTCGAGAAATCCTCAAGGGCCGACCCTCTCATTCCAACTCTGGGGATACAGTAAACCATGAATGTGAAGAGCACGCTGTCTACAACAATTTCAAATACAACCCCTAATCGCGCAGATTCCACATCATCTTCCATGCGACTTTCCTTTAAGCCTATGGGTAAACCCAGGTTCTACTCATCTTCAAGTTGATTCTCTATTATTCTAGTTATTTGGATCCCTTATTCACCGCTTCCTTGGCTTCATTTTGGGGCTAAGGTCTCTGGAAGTGATAGCTCTCTCCTTGTGAAAGACGTCTCATAACGTAAGGTAGAAGTTTCTGAAATATACCCTTATGTAGAGGGACTTTATTGGGAACCCCAAACAGGGAACACCAAGAAGAATTGAATAGGAATATACCTACCAGGGTCCTTATATTCTGTTATATTCTTACTACAGTCTTGGTGTTCCCTGTTTGGGGTTCCCATTTGAAGCCCTTTATGATGTACAGCGCGAGAGAAACTCCTGTACGGATACTGTATACTGCAATTGTGGTGTGTCACGAAAGATCCCTCAGAGTACCCCTTAACCCCTAACCCCTAAATCCTAAATCCTAAATACTATAGTAGTTTCCATTTTCTTTTCCATCATCCCCAAATAATCCCATATTACACCACTTATAGCCTAAGGGAGCGTTTGGAAAAGATCCCAGCCAAGCCAATGTGTTTTTGCTATTGCTTGCAAACGACAGTCGAAGAACGTCAGGTGTGGTCCAGGTTGCTTGGGTTTAGCGTTTAGGGGTCAAGGGGTTTAGGGGCTTAGGGTTTAGGGTTTAGGGAGTTTCCACACGGACGATTTCTGAGCATGTTTGTCATTGCGGAGGTGAGCGAGAATCAAATGAAATGAGCTGTCAAAGAGGTGACGTCGTCACGGTACTGATAAAACTCCGGGATCATTTGGGGATCCATGCTTTGGATCCGGTACCAAAGCCGGGGTAAGAGCCAAGTGGCCCTATACCCTAAACCCTGAATCACCTTAAACCTAAGCGCAAAGCCTGGCCCTAACGCCTAAACCGTATGGTGAGAGACAAGCAGCCTCTAGGTGCCACGGCCCCGAAGAAGATTCTGGATGTCGGCTAGTGGCTCAGGTGTGATTTGCCCTCCCCAAACATGCGTTTAAAAAGCATCTTTCTAGGGCCCCTTTGGGGCTCCATGCTACTTGTGTTCAACTTGTTCTTTTCTGTTTATAGGTTGTAAGAGCGCTATGCGGATACTTCGGGGCTTGGGGGTGAGGGATGTTGGTCCTATGATTGGCCCTTTCGCCATTCGCAGGAAGAACTAACTTCATCAGAGGTTACAGGTGCAGACATTGGACTTCATTGAAGAAGGTTGACTCTAAAACGAGTCCCAGGAAACAAAATCTGCCACATGTGGGTCGGTGGGGCATGATGGACCCCAAAATACCCTTAATTGTAGGATTTAGGGGTTTAGGGTTTAGGGAAACCCAAAACCCTCCTTGTCGATTCGGAGAGGTCCTAAAGCAGCGGCGTCAAAGCAACGAGTCCCTTCGAAACCAAAACGTTGAAGCAAAAGAGTAACGGGAAAATGAGAATAGTAACAGTAACAGTAATAGTTCTAGTAACAGTAGTAGGAGTAGTGTAGTAATCATGGTCATAGTAATAGTAAGCTGTCTGCTTCCCAGGTCGAGACGCCACACTCCTAGGCCTCCAGCACTAGGAAAGTCAGCTGGTTGGATTTCGAAGCCGTACGGAAAGCCTTTAATGACCCAACCCGCACCTATACCCTGAAACTAAACCCCTAAACCCTAAACTAAACCTTAAGCCTTGGGATTGCATACCCTGCTTCCTGGTTGCTAGTTTGCAGAAAGCATGGAAAAGAGGAGGGAACTCATTATTTCACTGGGAAATGTAGGGGGCTAACCCTGAACCCTACACCCTACTCCTCCTTTCCCCACGGCAAACATGCCAACCCACGCCCCAATGAGCACCCAGGTTGCGGCATTGGCGGGTCATCCAGGAGCCCAAATTTCAGACAGATGCCCAAGATCCCAAACAGAGCAGACCCTCATCCCAGAGTGTCCTGTTTGTTTTGGGTTTTGGGTTTAGGGTTGTTTGTTTCAGTTTCCTGGAGCTGCCTTTGTTGGTGGTTCAGACCGGAGGCTCTTATGAGCCGCTTCTCACAATGCACGCCTTTTTTTACAGAACACAAGGATCCCCAAGCAGGAGCGCCAATTTGAAGAGGCAAGGTCTGTGCAACATTTTCCTCCGTCGAGGTAGCAGCTTCTACTCCAATGGAGGCATAATCTTGCCTCTTGTTAGTGAATCAACTCGTTAGTAGGGTATGAAGGAATGGGCTATGGGGTTAGTACAGGGTTAGGGTTAGAACTTGAGACCCAGGAATTACGCTTTGGTATTTTGGATAATTTGGGCATATGATTTTTTGGAAGGAGGGCAGGGGCAAGTTGTAGGCATGCTAGGGGCGTGGCTGCGTTGAACCCGTGCTTTACCAACCAAAGAGTTATGTAGGGGATTCTCAAAGGCCCTTGTCCGAGGTCCCTATGATGTTGATGAGGATGTGCGTAGGCCTAGCATGCAAGGTTTTCGCCATTCCAAACCGCATGCAGAAAGCCTGAAGAACTGGCACTGCTTCTTGTGTCACATTTCCGTTTTGGGTAGACTAGGGTTGAACGGAAAACCACCATTTCAACTTTGAAGCCCCTATAACATACCTCTCATCGTTTGAGAAAAATCAGAAAACACACGCACACACACATCAGCAGCATTGGTGGGCATTCGGGTACTCCTACAGGATTTACTGACCATAAGCCCCCGATCAGGAACCATTAAGGGTCTACTCCACAACATGAATCTTTAAACCCTACACCCCAAACCCTAAACTCTAGACCCTAAGCCCGAAGCCCTAAACCCTAACCCATCACCGGAGGGTAGCAGCTTTTCTCAGTTGAACAAGAACTTCGCTGCTAACACGGGCTCTACAAACAGTGCTTGCAGGTTTAGCCTCTTTTCAGGGGGGCATTGTTGAGCCATAGTCTAGACTCCTTCGAAAATCGTGGTGGGTGTGTGGAACGTTACTCAGAGTATGATAGCTCGCCATTTTGAGCCTAAGAACGGCTCACTAGAGCTTGTCTTACAGAAGGAGTTTCGACCAAGAGCTCTCTTGCCTTCGCAATTTTCCTCCTGCAAGCAAGCGGGCCATGTGTACATACACTATCAGGCATTCCTGATGAGATACTGGTGTAACTCAGGCAACCTTCACAGAACCTAAGAATTCCTAGTTGTCATACTCTCGCGTCCGAATATCAAGATTGGGCCCTACGTGAAGTTCTAGACTAAACGCATGAAAGTAAAAAGCTCGAAATGCAAACTCCCCAAACATATGTCCTGAGCCTCTTAAACCCAACGTAGCCACTGAAACGTTTCACTACCTTTCAATCTCAAGCCAGCCATGCCAGTCCGACCGTTGAAGGACAAAGACAAGTACTATCCCGGGTCCCCTTTTGGGGATAAACCTCCTGAGGAGATGATGGCTCTAGCAGGCCCTGGTACGGTCACGGCGATCCAGGGTCTCAGCGGGCCAATCGTGGAAAGGGAGGTTCAAGCAGGGCATGCCATGTACCTGCCGCAAGACGCCATGAAGCACGTAGATGCCTATTTCGATTCTGGGCTAAATTGTGGGCTTTCGAGTTTATCCGGGCCATCACTGAGTACATTCCCAATTTCAAGGAAGGACTATTAAAAGCCTTTTGCTTTCGCATTTAAACGCATAACGGCCAAAACCTCATTCCTGACCCTAACCCGGCATAATCTCCCAAGACTCAGGAGTATCGTCAGCTGGTGGGAGACTCTGATGGAGGGATGCTACTGAATGAGCGCGAGTACGAAGAGCTGAGGGAGAAAGCCTCTGCTCCACGGGCCGCAGTTTATGGAAGGTTGGGGGTACCATATATAACTCATATATAGTCATTATACAGCCCCTATATCCCTAGGTTGTCCCCATATTAAGCCCCATAAGCTCCAAGGGTCCCTCCCTCCAAGAGTCCTTAGAGAGTTGGTGTTTTTTGGTTGGGATTTGGCCAGCGTGGCGGGGATCATGCCGGAAGCACTGCGTCCAGGATCCATCCAGGCGATTGTGGGTCTTCTGGGTGGAGTCCGAGAGCGGCCTTGAGTGCACCTGGGCCTCAGATTGAAACACGGTTCAGGGCTTAGGACTTAGGATTGCAGCTTAGGGCTCAGGGAAGGAGATCTTGCCCCACCTTACCCCAAGCCCATATGGGGGAGACTAAGCAGTGCAAAATTTTGTCCACTCACCATCCTCCCCGTGCACTAATTGACGTTCAAATGGAAAAGAAAATGGAACATGAAATGGAAGCTGGATTCATTCAGGGTTTTATGGAGTTTGGATTTCAAATCATCAGGGGCCCCCTGTTTTGGAAGCCCCTTAAGCAGGGGTTGTGCTATCTTGGGAGCATCTAAGGAGGACTCTACTATAGGGGCCCAAACAAGTACCAATATTATGGTTCTATATTCCTTACATATAATTATGGTCTGTAGTACCTCGCTGTCTGCACATTTGCTTAATTTAGCACTTCAACAAAATCAACGTTTCAGTTTATATGACCCACCATTGCCTAGTGAGTGGTTGCCGTTCTTCCCACTTGAGCTTAGTTTCCCACATGATATTTACTTTGCACATTGCTGGGACCTCACGGAGGCAGCCCAAAATTTACATCAGCACAACATGGCCATACGAATCAATCACCATTGCAATGCCACCGCTATTCGCATTGCAACGGCTGATTTTGTCGACGCCATTCCACAGGCTAAATGCTTTTTGCAAAAGGAACCCCTTGACGGATCTTGGCCTATTCCGCATTTGCACATAAGAGGCTGCCGCCACCTTGGGTTAATTTGGTTCTCGATTTGAGACTCAATCCTCAGCAGGAAATTCATCGCATGTCTTGTATCACACAGATACCTTTAGATACTTGGATGAATCTTACGGCAGAAGAAATCCGTTTGAAAATTCCCAGAGCACCTGGCGCCAAGGGCCGCTTCAAAGCCGCCCTCAACAGATTTACTAAATTTAAAGACGCTCTTGCTACTTTTCTCAGACTTCAGATGTCTGAAACGAAATCAAAATCTCATGTAGTCCAGCCTAGCTGGAGTGGTAACGAAACTTGTTTCTTTTGCCACAAATTGATGCGTTTTTCTGCTGAACCCAGCAAAATCACACGTAATTGCCCGAGCCCTGGGTCTTTATCCGATGCTTTATCTGCGGAGTGGATCCGGCAATTTGATGCAATCTTGAGAAAGATCCAGACCATTCTGGATAAAATCCAATAAGACGCCCTTCACTTTCTTCCATGCTTTGCCCGGTAACTAGTTGCCTGTCTTGAGTGTAATAATACACACTCCGTTTCACCTTCAAACGCCAATGACACCTGTCCGCATTTACCTCAAATGGACCTCAAAATGATATTGGTAATTATTTAGGCCTCTGTAAGAGTTTTTGGAAAGCCCCATGGCTAGAAGTATTGGGCTGCTGTTAGGGAACTTTAGGGTTTAGTTGCTGTAATCAGGAAACCCTAGTTTACCCATGTTTAGCTAAACTTAGGTTCCTTAACAGCAACCCAGAGTTTTCAGCGAGAAGCCCATAATCCCTTCCAACACGCTGAAACATCCCAAAACCACATGTATGGGTGATCATACTCCAGTCCTGAACCGTGGAAGGGTTCCAACCCAAAACCCAAAACCTTCTTTCCAAGAAAGGTAAAGCTGTTGGACCCGCATCCAGCTGCTTCTGTGGCCATAGATATCGAGAGCATACGTGGGCAGACTACCCAGAAACTGGCAAGTTAAAGTGCAAGATGGCGGGCTGCCCCTGTCAAGCTTACAGCCACTTAGCTGGCTCTGGCCGGGCTTTGAAGGCTTTACCTCTTTGGGTTTAGGGTTTGGGGGTCCTAGGGTTAATTAAGTTAGGGTCAATTCTTTAGGATGGGTCCTAAAGCCAGCCGAGGCTATGTTCCGGTGAAGGGCTCCGGAGACTTGAGATGTCCCTTGCAAGATTATCAGCTTGGCGGTCTGACTTTCAGACATCTTGCCATCTTTGTTTCGTGATTCTAAAGTTAGCATATATATATATACAACTGTGCTAGATGATGCTGGGTTGGGCTATCATGTAATTTGACCATGATACTGCATATTATGTACGTTAATTCTTGAACCGGAAGCATCGACTCGGGAGCTACTGATCTAGAGAGGTGTCGCAAGAGTCATCTAAATTGCTGCATTTCCAGTAAAATGCAAAGAGCAGCCGAGGTTCCACTTGTAGGCAGTCCTACTTGGACCACGACAAGAAGACGAAGAAGTGCAATCGTGGCAAAGGCTCCTTTACGTCGTCATACAGTTGCTCCTAGGTCTTGTTGGGCACTCGTTTTGGGTATGGATCAAAGAGTCGGATCTCTGTAATTATACACCCCTTAAAAGTAATTGCTGATATTGGGGCCCCAAAAACCTAATGCAGAAATTGGCGCGCGGTGTGATGCAGGGTCCCAAATGCACCTTGCGAGAGCTACCAGGTTCCTGCAACTCCAGCTACGACCGACACCATACTGCGGTGCAAACGCAGCAAGAGCGCGAATTGCACCTTGGTCTTGGTGTGCGGAAAAGAAGGTTTTGACAGGTGCAAGCACGAAGAACAGCAGTATAGCTTAAGATATGATATCCGTAGTAGGGGTAACGCTGGAAGGAACAAGCACGGTTGTAAGACAGCAACTATAAGAAGAGTAATATGAAGTTTGGGAGCAGGAGGAAGTGCAACACAAAAGGCTTGTGTGTTTGCCGCAGCAGCCCCTACTACTTGCATGATGAAACGAACTTGCTTTTCAAAGAGCCACGTCTTACAACGGGATCCTCCCCCTGTACCCCAAATCAGATGCTCAAAGAAGGGCCAACCAGCTTTCGTTGCAAGCGGCACATGGGATCCGGGCCCCTCAAAGTTCAAAAAAAAGTTTGGGGGCGTAGGATCTGGAGGGTGATTTAGGGTGTAGGGTTTCGAGATTAGAGTTTAGGTCTGCATGCGGATCTTGGCGAGGGTGGTGTGTATGAAGCCACAAGTCAGTTAGGCTATAGTCTAAACTCCTAGTATCCCCCTTAATAGCCCCTATAGCAGTCCCCTGCATAATCCCTTATTTAACTCCCTTTCAGGATTAGACTATAGCTCAGATGAACATTGAACATTGCAGGTCGATTTTTTTGCCCACCCTAGTCCAGATGGGGGTTTCCCAAAGTTTAGGAGAACCATTTCCCATAATGAGGAATATCGTATTTGGGGGTCTTATTTTGGGATCCCCTATATCGGGAAACTGCCAAATACAAGTAGATACTATGATAGTCTATATGGGGAATATTGCAGGGATCTGCATGAAAAGTGCCTGGTGGCTTTGGATGTTATAGTCATAGCGCTAGGCCAGCAGAGGTTTATCAAAACTGCGGTCACGAAATCCGAAAAGGGCCTCGCGTAATCTATTTGCAACCGTAATATATCCCAAGCCTTCCCATCCAATCCTAAGCTCTAAACCCCAAACCCTAAACCCCAAAGCCGGAAACCTAAACCCGAAACCCCAAGCCCCCATTGAGGAGTGGGAAGGCCACAGCCACGCCCTGGATGCAATCTGCAGCTAGCTCTGGTGTCTTGGTTTTTCTTACCTTTGGTTAGCTGGGAATGGAAGGAAGGGAAAAGAAAATAGAAACTACTTACCATTTAGGGTTTAGGGTTTAGGGTTTGGAAGGAATGGAAAAGAAAATGGAAACGACCATAATGGGTGGTTGTATAGGGACTGTTAGAAGGATCCATCCCTTCATTCCTAGCTAACCAAAGGCCAGTTTTGGCACCAAAGCTGCTGTCAGTACTCCAAGGCAGGCGCCTAAATAATTGCAGGTATCAGGGTCCTGGTTCCATGCATACCTATGGCGTGGGTAGACCTCAAAATGACATTGCTAATCATTCAGGCCCTGCAGTCTTCTAAGTCCTATCCGACCTTGTTCTCTGTTTTTACGCTTCTTTTGGCAGGAAGCGTCAGAGAGAATTCCTGGTATCAATGAGCTATACTCGGGATTGGTGGTGCCTCTCCATTACCTTCCTCCTCGTTCGATTTCTCTTGGTATCAGGAGCCGTGACCCTTACACAGTAGTTCGTAATCTTGATCCCCTGAGAAAGTTCTTTCTACTTTGTACCAGCTTCCGGCATTGAACCAGACCCTTCACGTGAAACCCATACACCCATACCCTCAAACGTAAACAGCAGCGGCATTCCCACGAGTTACATGACTCTGCCAACTTCAATGCAGAATATGACGGGCAGGAGTAGTACTGATAGTCACCGTCAACCCAATCACAACAGTTGCCCTACTGGTGATTGAGGAAGATCTGAGATAGTAGTTTCATCCAACTACCCTATAGTCCCTATATAACCCACTGTAGTAGTTTCCATGTTCTTTCCATTATCCCAATGTAACTCCAATATAGCCCCTCAAATCCCTATATAATTCCTGTACAACTCCTATAATGCCTGTAGTTTCCATTTTCTTTTCCATTATCCCAATATTACCCCTATAGAACCCCAATATACTGTAGTGTTTCCATTTTCTCTTCCATTATCCCAATATAACCCCTATATAACCCCAATATAGAGTCTGGGGGACTTAGCACCTCGCCCCTCTTTACCATTATAGCATCCCATGTCACCCCCTCCCTCCCCCTCCCGGTCTGTGGCCAGAAAACAGCACTCTCGGCGAATAGTGGGCAGTTCCTATAAAATCAAGTCCTGTTATGGGCCCTACACCGTAAAGAATCAAACCTGACGTTCTGTAAGCCCTAAACTGCATCCGAGTCTCAGCTGTGGATAATGCTAAGAAGTCCATACCCCATGCTCGACCTGCATCTTGTTTCGGGCTTAGTGATCAGGCTTACACGAACCCCCAATACGCACTAAGGCAACCCCCCAACCCTGATTTCTATGCTAGTCCCATACCCGCTAAGGGACAAGCTAAACGGCTCCAAATCCCGATTCCTACACAGCCTTAACCCTGATCTCTACACAAATGCTAGGCCTCCTTTACTACGTTCCACTAGGCTGGGTTAGACCATGCTATACTATACTATAGGAAGTTCTACGTAGAATATGCTACGCTGTTACATTATCTCATGTTACACAACCAAGTACCCTACTTGTGTCAACTACAAGTACTATACGCTATCATGGGTATCATTTTCTATGTTCTCACATAGATCTATACAGTGCTAGTCGTACATTACATTATATCTATCTCATGTTATGATACATTATACTCCATACCCGCACCAGGCCTTCCCACGGCCCACATGGGCGGCATCAGCGGCTTCACGGCCCTGGCGGATGGCATTGACAGGGCCTTGGCGGGCCTGGAGCCGGGGTTCGAACCTTGGCTTCAAGGGCTCTTTATGATATAGTGCGCGGTTTTGGGTTTTGGGTTTAGGGTATAGGGGTTTGGGGGTTTAGGGGTTAGGGTTTAGGGGTTTAGGGTTTAGGGCAAGATTTTACAGTATTATGTTGTAAAGTATAGCAATAGTATCGTGTTTACGATCTAGTAGACTATAGTTGAAGACAATAGAATAGAGTACTAGTAGAATATACCGCAATATAGTATAGCGTAAGATTAGGTTGTATCACACAGTGAAACATAGTCTGGAGTCCCGTTTTGGGGGTTCAGGGGTTTGCAGTACGGCTCAACGTTTAGTCCGAAGGTGCGGGATCTGGAGAATGGTCAGTAGTTTTGAGGGGGTTGGTTGAAGATTAGTTTGTGGAGTTCGGCGATTTGTAGCTGGCTTCATAAGCTGGACGACATGGATTTTCTTGCAGAGAGGCTCTTAGAATTTTGCATGGGTACAGGCAAAGCTTCTGGTTCTTGTATACGAGAAAAAAAGGGCTTCTTCGGAGATGTGGAAGGTGCACTTACAGGCTTTATCCGTTGTATTTACCTTTTGCATACAGTTGTGTATAGCTTTATATATATATATATTGAATTCAAAGGCGTTTGTGTGTGTGTGTGTTCTTCTTAAGGGTCTAGGACTGGGACGTGGAGGCTTTAGGATGTGGGTTTGGGGTTTCAAGTTGCACAATGTGGTATACGAGCTACCATGCTTGAGGGTGACGGGATTGCCCCCACCATGCCTCCCTGAGGCAGGAGATTGAGGAAATTCAGCAGTCCCTAAACCCTAAACCCTGAACCCCCTAAACCCTGAACCCTAAACTCTAATCCCTGAACCCTAAACCCTAAATCCTAAACTCTCAACCCTAAAGAACCTTGAAGCTAGGAGGCCAGCCCAAGATCAAACTAGAGAAATAGTCCCCCTTAAGTAGATAGAATACGGGGTATATCATTGGGTTTTTATAGGGATAATGCAAAAGAAACGGGAACTGTTTAAGGTTTAGGGTTCAGGGCGTAGGGGTAGAATATGGGGTATATGGGGATCTTATTAGAATATACCCAGAGCCATGCTCTCTATCTACTTAAGGGGGACTACCCGAAAGGGTTTTTCCCCGCTGGTTGCCCAACCAATCACTCCGCCTAATGCCACCCCCGCTAATGATGCATTTCAAGTCTATACATATATGTATATATACATAGTGGTAAAATGTCGGGGGTGTGCATTATCAGGGTAGGGCAGGTTGAAGTGGAGGGGATTGGGCGGCTCGTCAAGGCTCATGGTGGACTTCTTCCCAAATTTCTCTTCAAGGCATTCTCCCCTTCTTTGCTTTCGTACGGATGCCATAAGTCAGCGCCCCCTCAATGCCACGACACCAACATAGCCATTGCGTCCTTCCAGCTGTCCTGCACACGCAGCATATGTCACTTGTTAGTAGGCAATGAAAGAACGGATTCAGATACTTGCCCGCCTCAATGTCCCATTCCTTCATTCCCGCAGAGGCCAGAAACCCTAAACCTTAAACCTAACTCAAAGTAACCCCAAACCCTGGACTCTAGACGCGAAGCTCCACGCCCTGAAAACTAAGTTCTCGCACCTTGAGCTCGAAACATGTCAAATCCCCTATAACAATAATAGCAATAATAATAATAAGAGTCGTAATTGTAGTAATAATAGTAAATAGTACTAGTAATAATGGTAATAGTAATCCCCCAGCGAAGGAGCCGCAGCGAGTCTACGGAGCCTTGGAAGAGAATCACGGCATCACAGGGCTGAAGCAAAAGGCCCTGACGCTCGGTTGCTTTCATGCATTGGGGCTAGGGTGTCTTGTTGTTCATCATGCTGTGGGTTTCCGACACCTCTGTTTAAGGCTTGCCTGCAATGCTCCCGATAAATAGCGGGAATTCTTCCACCTACCCTGGTTCCAAGAGGGAAAGACCTCGAGCATTCCGGATTCAGGGGCCAGGTTCGGTAGATTCTTCGGACCAAAGTTTTTGGATCTGGTGTTCTACAAATTTGTCGGCTTCTGGTGTTGAGATCAGGTCTGGGCTTTTTCTGGAGGTCCGACTAAGACCCCGAATCCCCCAGACCCGAAACGAAAGACCAAAGAGCTTCAAGCATAAAACCTAGGTCTCCTAAGCCCTAAACCAGACTAGATATTAACCATGCCCCGATATATGAGCTCTAGTCTAAACTCCTTAGAGGGGGATTATGTAGGGGAGTATTGCAGGGGTTATTAATTGGAACACCAGGAGTTTAGACTATAGCTCATATTTTGGGGATATTTAATACTCGGAGTGCAGGGGTGGTCTAGTAATCCCCAGGCGTTGATCCTTTGACTTAAATCCTGAAACCTAAGCCTTGACCCCCAACACGTAAACCTTAACGTTCGACCATAAAACCTGGACCCGAGAACTTACAGCCTCAAGCCTGCTAAAGCCCAAGCCCTAAACCAGATTTACAAATTTCTTCTGGCATTTTTTCAAAGAACAAAGATTTACATTAGGCCAGCGCGGCCTCCCAGCACTGGTATGAGACAAACGGCGCGGGCGGGCGAAGACATCGTCGCCGGCCGCAGGAGCCCAGCAATGAGCAGCCTGGCACTGGCTTAGGGCTTTTGGGTTTAGGCTGTAGGTTTAGGGTTTAGGGCTTAGGGTTTAAAGCACGGGGTTGATTGGGATGTATGGCTCAGGGTCCCAGATTAAAAAGCTGAGGATTTCTGATTGAATTTGTGCGATTCTTTTTTCGAGATTATAAGATGTTGGGTGCGCGGTTGGGATGACGGTCTTTGTATGAGGCTACGATGTTTGGTAGGGTCTAGGGCTTGGGGTTTAGGATGGGCTGCCATGTTAAAATGTTGCAAACCTAGTGGTCCCCCTCACCCCAACGTATTCTGGTCCTCAGCTGTCCTCAGTATAGGGATCCCCAGGAGGAACCCCAAACTTCCCTGATTTTTGGAACACCATATATGCTATTCTACAAGCTGAATGATGCAGCATGTGTAGCAGATTCGAAAACAGATCTCCGTGCATTCGCGAGGATGTAGGGTTTAGGATTTAGGGTTTAGGGCTTAGGGCCTTGCTTCTTCTTGATACTGTTGATAGTGATCTGTTGGGTGGTCAAAGTTACTGCCCCTTGGGGTCACCAGTATAATGCGGCCCCGAATATATGGTAGTTTCTGAAAATAACAGGACCCGATATAGACCCTAGAATATTATAATCCTGCTTAAAGGGACCCCAAGAAGGTAACCCTAATTTGGGGGAACCCTAGATGTACCCAAAAGGGACCATAATTTCCACCACCTACCATGTAACCCTTACGCCAATACCGTCGCAGGGAAACCAGTCTGATTACGGTATATCCTACTTACTGCATGGGAACATAAAGTAAGTTCCTTCACACCCGGTAATTACAACGCTTGCAGTCCCAGTTTCCATGTCACTTTCCATGTTCTTTGATTCTCCATCATGGCAACATAGCCCTTACTATACCCCCTTACGGATCCCCTATAACCCGGCAATCAGGTAAGAGCAGCGCTGCTCCCCCTTCCTCTGGTGGCCGCCCATGCTCGCAGAGCAGCCGCAGCCGCCCCGCACCCTAGCTGGATGCGAGCCAAAAAAGTTGCTTCTCAGGTCGTAAATTAAGCTACAAAAAACCCAAATGTTTACCACATGTCCATAGAGTGGTAACTTGGTTTAGGGCGCCTAGCAACCTAGACTGTGAAAGCAAAGAATAGCGCTCAGCCCTAGACCCTAATATAGACCCTATTAGATTATAGCAGCTTCCATTTTCTTTTCCATTATCCCAACCCTAAACCCCTACTATAGTAGTTTCCATTTTCTTTACCATCCCTAAACCTTAAACCCCTACTGCAGTAGTTTCCATTTTCTTTACCATCCCTAAACCCTAAGCCCCTACCGTAATAGTTTCCATGTCCTTTTCCATTGTCCCTGTATAACCCCAAGTATAACCCTATATAATCCCCATATAACCCTCTATAACCCCTATATAACCCTATATAATCCCCATATAACCCTCTATAATCCCCATATAACCCTGTATAACCCCTATATAACCCCTATATAATCCCCATATAACCCTCTATAACCCCTATAACCCTATATAATCCCCAAGTATAAACCCTGAAAACCTTGCGGCGAGGATCCTCGCGAAGCGCTTCCCAGATGCCGAGGCTTGGAGCCCAAAAGCTTAGGGTTTAGGGTTTAGGGTTTAGGGCTTAGGGTTTAGGGTTTAGGGTTTAGGGCTACCATAAAGCTTACCATTCTGTGGACAAGGGGTTATATTGGGGTTATATAGGGATAATGGAAAAGAAAATGGAAACTACAGGAATTATAGGGATTAATGTTGGGGTTAAATTGGGGTTATGTTGGGATTATATAGGGATAACGGAAAAGAAAATGGAAACTACTATCATAGGTTATATAGGGGTTATATAATGCTAAACCGCAAAGACTAAACCCTGAACTTTCGCTTGGGGAACTGGCAAGATGGATCTTGGTTTTAGGGTTTGGAGCCTGGGGTTTGGCTAAGGTCTGCTATTGGGAGTAGGTTCGAGGGTTCAGGGATGGGCCGCTTGGGAGGCATTTCCTTCACATGAATTAACATCAAAGCATATCAAAGCCAATCTCTACGGTGCCAGTGTCTGTGTCGCCGTGATGAGGCTCCCTGGTGCTGTAAACAGTAGCTATGATGACCTTGAACATATGCAAAGGATGTTCGCCGGTCCTAAGAACCCTTTGCGATGCCTCATCCGCAAATACATACGCTGTTGTTGGATGGGGTTCGTAGAGATTTCAGCGAGGAGTTGAAGAGAAGCTGCAGAAGTTTGATTTACATCGTGGTTAAAGAGCATGTCCGTTTTCGCAGGACATTTGCGCAGGGTTGGCCATGTTCAAGAGCTCCTTCACGCTACCTTACATGGCTTCGCTTTATGCTTGAAGTGGCGCAAGATCCATCATCGACTCATCGCGAGCTGGCCCTCTACCCAACCAAACCCTAAATACCCCCTATATAATCCCAGTTTCCATTTCATTTTCCATTTTCTTTTCCATTTGATACTCCATTAACCATGGAATCCTTCGGCTCTCACGCCTAAAACCTGGATATCCAAGACTTCCAACCATAGTATATAGGGGTATATGGGGTTATATTGGGGATAATGGAAAAGAAAATGGAAACTACTATAGTATATAGATTTAGCCTGAACATTCCTCAGTCTCCCACTCCAGGTGCTTGGCATTACCCTCTCTCCGCAGCAGGCCAGGGTTTCAAGCTGGAGTTGATCCACGCCTTACTATGGCCTGATACGATGTTTGCAAGGAGATGAGGAGGAGTTTATGTTGTTAGGCAGGCTTATGATTGTTTAGGCCACGGGAAGTTTCTGAATGGTCTACCAGATTCTTCGTATTTCGACGGCCAAGGGCAGTCAGCACTACCCCGGGACTGCACTATCGAGCTGGCAGCTGCATGTCCAAGCGCTTCTGATGGTACGCTCGAGCCCCTGAAGCCTGTCGGATGTCTGTATAGTCTGTGCGGTATCCTTACTGCAATACGTCATCCATAAAGCTGCCCCCCTAAAATAAGTCCGCCCATCCCGAATCAATAGGTCCAACAAAATATCATTTCGGGGGGGGTGAAGTTATTGCAGGGGCCTGAATCAGAACAGGGCTTGGTAGTACATCATATTCCAATTAAGTGCAGTATGGTTTGCAAAGGAAGAATATTGGTGATTCTTCACGCTGCATGAGCTCAATATACCGCTATGCCAACTCAGCTTCAATTCCATGGTGTATGTTGTTTCCATTCGACGTTCTATTAGTCTAGGGGATAACTTAGGCCCCCCAAACCTTAAACCCGAAACCTTGCCCGAGTTCTTCAGGCCCCTAAACCGAAGAGGGCTGTGGGCCCTACTCCCAAGCTCTGTCGTCGCCCCGAACTCCCTGGGATGTTTGCAAGCACTGGTGAAGTGGCAAAGGGAAAGTCGCACCATGCCAAAAGCTTAGCTAGGACCTTGGACCCTTAATTTTTGGGGGTTTCCCCATATTCGTATCACAGGTACCTAAAAAGGTACCTAAAAGTTGTCCCTTGTTCCTAAACCCTGGGCGGCCCAGCTGTTGCTCTGGACTATTGTTAGTGCTAAGCTACTTTTCTGCCGCTGGTTGCATCAATGCGTCAATGAGGCATGCGGCACCAAGTAGCCTGCTCCTGTGGAAGCTTCCAGACAGCCATTCGATCGTTAGTGGCGAGTCCCCAACTTTGGATGCTTGCCGCGGCCAGATTTCTGCTCTTGCTAAGGCTCTAAGACTCTAATTCCCCCTATCAAACGGAAAAAACGACGCAACTGAGTGGGCGAAAGGCAGAGCGAGCCGGGAACCTCGCCAAAGAGCAGGGCCTTACCAACGTTCGGTTTCAGGCACGAAGAAGGGTTTTGGGAAGGGTCCTCTAAGGCCTATGTAGGGCTACACAAGGCTATGTAGGGTTCAGGGTTCAGGATGTAGGTTTTTTTGGGTGCGTCTGGTTCGGGATTTCAGGTTTGAGGTTCAGGGTTGTGGGTTTTGATTGACGAGATTCGCGACATACCCCCCCCCCAACCGCCATGCCGTAGTTGGGGGTTCATGGGACTAGTAACTACGTAAGTATAGCCGGGCACATAAACTTACGTACATTACCCCCAATTGGACTTGTTTTGCTTATCTTGCGAAGTAGGATGATAAGCCCAGTTGCAAGTAGTTGCTGGGGCCCACATTTTCCCATGAACCCTAAACCCTAAACCCTAAACCCTAAACCCAAGAACTTCGTGAAGACAATCTAATGGTTCAAGTGCGCCTCAAAAAGCGCCTCGGCAGTCTGACAAACCCCCAAATTAGGGTACATTTTGGGGGGTCCCTATCCTAAGGATAATGGTATTTTGAGGTCTATGTTGGGGTCTCCTATTTGGGAAGGTTTTACTTAAGGATATTACCCTAATAATGGAGAATCAAATGGAAAAGAAAATGGAAAATGAAATGGAAACTGGGATATGTGCCGTTTAGGGTTTAGGGTTTAGGGTATATTGGGTACCAATAATGGAGAATCAAATGGAA